GATTTTCTTTGTAAAAATAAAAATGTTAATATCAATAATAATATCAGTAATGATATCTATAATGACAGAAATAATATTTTTGCAATAAGTCAAATATTAAAATCGACAATACTAATATCAGTAACAATAACTATAGCAACAGAAATAATTTTTTCTAATAAACTCAAGGAAGAGAATAAACAGGTCAGCAAAGGTAGGCCTAGTAACATACTCCTAGGTGACTATGCACTTGTGAAGCTGAGAGGGTTTAAAACTCTCTCATATCTGAGAACAAAATCAATAAAGCAACACCACAGTGGACACTGGAGTGAGCCCAGTGCCAATGTGTAAAAAAAGCATGAAACTTCCTACCTTAATCTTTGAACAATACTGAATGATGGTCTGCGTGATGGTGTCCCTGACAGACGTGGCAAGAGGTAAGCTCTGAACGGCCCCCAAGAGGAAGGAGGGATGGCAGTCCAGGAGATTCAGGAGGTTGTCCAATAGCCGCTCCGTTCCTCCCAGTAAATGACGGAAATCATAGTTACGTCTCTTTTCAAACATTCTTGTGAGGGCAGATCCTGTGAGGACGCTGACGATCTGGTTATGAACATAGCTGGGAAAGACAGCACAAAGTCACATACTGCCTAATACAGAAAGAGGAAGTAGTATAAAAAGTAAAACACTTTAATTTCACACTTAACAAAGGAACGATTGGACTTAAGAGAACACAAAAATAAAAAATTAAATCTTGTTTACAGAAACACAAAATAAAAACTTACGTAAGCTGCATAATAAGCTGTGGAACACTGGCAACCGTGTGTGACACAGCAACGAGAATCAAGGGCGACTTCACGAGAAATACAAATTTGTGGTTGCCAGATATAATGCATCTCATGACATCATCGCAATCTGCTACAAAGGAAACCAGTGCTTGCATGAGTCCAAATAACGTCACGAGTCTGTCTTCCTTTCCGTGTCTGCAATACAAAGACAAACATTATATAGGCATTATCAGATGACACTATGGAAAGATACCTATGACACAATATCAGACTCGAATCTAAAGCAGGTGTCATTCAAACACCTTGCCTATCTGGCGTAAAAAACAGATGACCCCTAGAGATATTGTCTCATTCAACTCCTCATGCTATCTTGGAGAGGGTGATCACTAACTTCAGTCCACTACAGACAGAGACAGAATACCCACCTTGTGTAAATGGGTTTCCCCGACTCGCTCAGGATGAACACGTGCTTCTCCTGCTGAATCCACTCCAGGCTCTCCAGATACTCCTCGTCCTGGGAGTCCTCGCCGTCGTCGTCATCCCCTGGCTCCGTCTCTGTGGTGGTGGTGTCCTCCGAGGGCGTCTTCTCCTCTTCTTCTGTCATTGCAACACTGCCCATGCCACCAACCAGCTCACTCTCCTGCAACAATGGCAACACCTGTGCATTTGTTTTATATTATGCTAAGGTTAAGCTGAGAAATAGGATAGCTTGGGTAACTGACCCAGCATAAATATTTGCTTATTTATTTGGCAAGAGATATATATTTGTTGGAATATGAATGTACATATGAGTGTGTGAGTGTATGTACATGTACATGAACATGAATATATATGTATACTTGTGCATGTAATTATGCAAGTTTGTATGTATGTATGCTGGAAAAAGGAGCAAATACCATGGCACCACAAATTCATAAGGGTTCCTGCGTACCTGTTCCACTCTCGCTCCGAAACTTATTAACAAAAAGGCCACATCATCCCTGACAAGACAAGTCTTAGAATATGGCTATCACTCAAGCACTTTACTGTCCAAATGCCCCGATTAGGCTATATCAAATTTTGAAATGCCTTTCAAAACTGTCAACAGTCTTGCCAGTCTTCCATAAACCTTTCCTTAAGAGTAGAGCTTTCCTTCACCAACCTTCAAGGGAAATGTTCCAGAAAAAAAAGTTTTACAACCTTATTAAATGTTTGTGGCATTCAAAATCTATTTTTTTGCTCCTTTCTGTCCAAAGCTGCAACATTCCCCTAATGCAATCAATCTTGTCACTTTATCAATCCTAAAACTGGTTTTTCTTTATGTTGGATCAATGGATGAAAAAATCAAGACTATTGCCTTATTAAAGGGAAAAATATATAAAGAACAATTACAAATAATTAAGAGACTACAAAAAATATATTCTTCTTTATTTCTAACATAATAAATGTATATGTACAAAAACCTTGCAACTTTCAATTTTCTGCCCAACAAATAAATTACATGGAATAAACATCCACTCTATACTGACCCAAACTCTATGTATTCAAAATAGTGCTCTGAAATATACGAGTGTGGAGAAAGTTGATAGTGTGGCAACTACTCTGTGTGAGCTAGATATAATAAAACATTCAGTATATATAACTTAAAATACTTAAAATACCACTCACACACACACACACACACAAAAAAAAAGAAGAAGAAGAAGAAGAAGAAGAAGAAGAAGAAGACTGAGAAAATCCACAGACGAACTAGTGCAAAAATTGTAAATAAAGACATTCAATATTATAAACTACTAAGAATCTGTTACAATAATTTGAGTATCAAATCTACTCATACTGGTAAAGCTAATAAAATGTATCCTCAAATGTTTCAGTAAGGACACACTAAGATACAGCAAACTGAATTGTAGAGGATAAAAAGTACATATTGTCTAATTTGTTCAGGGAATTATGCACTAAATGTCAGGAGTTTATGTAATGTCCCATTTAGATTTTAGTGAGTTTTGTTACATACAGATGGCTCCACGTGTGCTCAGCAGCAAGGAATCTATCAGTTGGCTCTCATGACAAATCCTGATTTCCCTATTCCTTGAATTGGCTTGAAAATGTATTTTTCTTTCCAATGCTACTAAAAATGATATTATTCTTATTGATATTATGATTATCAAATTGTTATCAAAATATTAATAATATCAAAAACAATAAAATAATAGAAGTGAAGCTTTCAAAAATGAAGGATATGGGCAAACAGAGATAGGTAAGACTAAAAGCTGACTCCTTGGTGACTAAGCACTAGTAGAGCCATCTATGTGTAAAGACAATAGATAAATTTCTTCTTACAGTGGGTGTGGCATTCTAGTCTTGCCACCTACTGACATTGGGTTAAGATGGTGTAGTTTTTAAAAGACTCTTCTCTCACGTAGATTCATATTGCTCTGTTTTATCCAATAAGTGAAAGTTAACCCATTCACCACACGTAGCAAGAATAGATGCCATACCCACTTTGAGACACGTTTATTTATTGTACTTATACATAGATGGCTCCATATGTTCTTAATCACCATACAGCCAGTTATCAAGAACTACCTATTTCACCTGTTTACCCTTTTCCTTCACTTTAGGAAAGGGATTTTTGTATCATTTCATTGTCTAAAATATTCTAATGCCTATTTAATAATCACAACATCAGTAACAATAATAATAGTATCGATAGCAATGGTATAAATTTTCCTGCCAATTCAATGAATGGGAGAATCAGGGTCAGTAACTAGGGCCTACTGATAGACTCCTTGCCGGCTGAGTACATGTGGAGCCATCTGTATGTAACAAAATTCACCAAAAACTACAGAGGACAGAACATAAATCCGGGGCGAATGGGTTAACATGACTTGTGATAGACAGCTTATAATTTTTTTTAACCAGATTGTAGCACAGTATCAAGGTATGTTACAGCTTTCACCTATCTGCATGCATACAATCAACCAATAGGTAGACAGGTTGGGGAGCTATGTACATGATGCTTGAGTGTATCAGTCTGACTGAGCAAACAAACCAACTCTATAACACTAATTAAAACTGAAAACAGAGAATTTATAGACCAAAGTGCGAATCCACTGTAAATTTGGTGATTTTTCAGTTTCACACAGCCATCCAATCTTGCAATTATTATTCCTTCTGTCCACTTTCAATGCTGCAATATGTGTGAATCTCTTGTTATTTTCCACTGCAAATGATACAAATGAAAGTACAGTAAGTCCCCAACTTAAGAACATAATGGGGACCAAGAGGCTGTTTGTAAGTTGATTTGTTAGTAAGTCGAAAGCCGGGTCTCCATTACCTTTTTTCCCATTGTTTTAAAGTTTTGTTTATATTAACCCCTTGGTGCCGGGTGACACCGATCGGCGTGCAAACAAACCGCTCGAAAGCTGGGGTGCAGCCAAACGCCACGGCGGCGCGCCAAAGCGTGGCGAGCCAGTGATTCGGGCTGATGTCCCCTACTCACGCGCTCAAAGTCAGCGTGCCGCCTTAGTTTGCTAGAGCATAGAGTTTTTTTTTTTGTTTTGTACACCCGGCATCATTGGGTTAAGAATACCTGTAAATAAATCACAATAAGTACGACATACCTTATACAGTACCAGACTCTTGAACTATATTCGTGCCCGGGAAATTTGAAGTTTGCTAGCATCTTTCAAACAATTTTTTGGACTTTAATACTTAAAAAATTTTGTTTGTATGTATGGAATGTTCATAAGTAGAATGTTCTTAAGTATGGGACTATCTGTATTGGCAATGATTACAAAGTGACTGTACCCCTATAAGATTAAGTCCCTATTGCTCCAGTATTTCCTAGGAAATCCACAACCCTTCCTAACCCCAGGGCTTCACCCCAACCCCCATCTGATCACTGTATTTCCCTATGGGGACTCTGCCCCCAGACCCCCACTGCCACAGGGACTCAAAAATAAATATTCATAGTCCCACATAATAAACAAATAGTCAGTGACGGTAAACCTTTCATATCATGGGCATGGTAGTAGTAATTATGTTAATCCTTTTATAATATTGGAATATATATATTAAGTAATTATGATCTATCCAGGAATATAAGAGAATGGTTATACCACCCAATCACCATGGATTTAGTCTCTGAGCGGCATTTAAGGCGACCTATTTTCTTCATTTCTAATGTCATTTTTTGCCTACACAGATTATTTCATGTATAAGCAAGTAGTTTTGATTATCATTGTGGCATTACATTTTCCTGAAAATGTATACCAAAATATGTGTTTGACAACTTTCTTATTATGAACGTGTGAAGGTAGTGTCATAGATGAAAAGTGTCTGTTTTCATCCATTCTGTTCATTAGGGGTGATATTTATCTTGTATACATGGCTGTGGGAAACAAACTGTAAAGTGAATTTTTAGTAGTTTTTTGTTAGCTCAAATGTTGCATGTACACAAGAGGCCTGTCTAGCACAGTCTTAACCTGGTCTGTTGGGCCATTAAAACACCTTCACACACCTATCTACTTCGGCGAATTTGCTAAATACCTTCCAGTGATCGAAATGCAAAGACAAGAATTCTGAAGTAACTTTATAGTCCAAGGCAGGTAAAGTCAGCTCCCTTGTTTCCAACCACAACACGACCCGTTGCAGAGGCCCCCGAAGTAGAGACAACAGCCGACATGAAGCCAAGGCGTCCGAATTCAAGCAGGAAAAGCGCCAGAAGCGCCTGCCTCTCGCCGCTCACCTGCTCCTCCTGCACCTTCCGGATGGGAGAGTCGGGGGCGTCCTCCCCGCCGCTGAACTGCGTGTCCAGGTCGTGGTTGCACTCCTCGAAGCTGTCTGTGTTGACGAGCATGACCTCGCCGCTGACCCCTGGAGTGTCATCCTTCAGTTCAACCCCAACGACGTCCGAAGAAGCGAGTTTAGTGTGAGGAACTCCGGGTTTCGGCTCACTCGCACTCTCCGCCATGATGGTCAACACTCTTTCGGGAACATTTTTTGCCTCCATCTATACCCATACTGTTATCAAAACTCACTTGATATTAATATATTTTTAATAATATAATTTTAAATATACTCTACCAATTATATAACATACACGTCATTGTTAAATTAAGGCAAAAAAAAATAGCCTAAGAATATTTAGAAGTGTTCGCGGTCGCGTTCTGATCGCGAGATTGTTTACAGGAATCAGCTGATCCCGTCGACAGCCTCCGCCTCCGCCCCACCTGCCTCCCGCCACACCTCCTCCCGCGACAAATCCGCCGAACAGCGGAGGAAGCTGTCTCGGCACGAGGTCCACGGCATGCGGGTATCAAAGGACTAAGGCTGTGTAAAGGAAGAAAGGATAAGGCAGTCTCTGAAACTGACAGGGAGGAAGAGGAGCGTAAGCTACGGGCGATTCGCTGACCTGACACTTGGTGGGAGGAGAAGCAAAGGAGGTATTTAAACGTGTCTTTTTTCTGCTCAGGTTTACGACCTACTCTGACAAAAATCCCTGTAAAAAAATACCTACTTAGTCGTGACATCTGACGTGTTGTATATCAAATTATCAATTTAAATGAATTAGTTCATCATATTTGCAGTCAGTTGTGATTCAGATGTAATTTGCTTTTTTATATGTTCACTATGACGAGAGTTTGATAGATGATATATCTGCACATCCCAGACTGGAAACTTTGTGGCGTGTGAGAAGTATATTGCATGTGCAGCTGGCTGTGCACTTCTCTGATTTCACCACACAGCTGTCCCTGTCTTATTTGCTGGCCACACAAAGTTATCAAAATGCCTGTTGCCACATAGTGTGGTTTGGTCTTAGTGTGGATCACTTTGCAAACTGAACAACCTAAAAGAGTTATCAATTAGATTGAACTAGACTAGGTTGTTTCATCAGTGATGGTGTAGAAATGATGTGCAGATAATGTATCATCCATCACAAACATTACACAATGTAAAACAATATGTTTGCATTTTTAAGGGGGACAAACTTAAAATTTGACAGTGCAATTTAACACTTTTACTAATAACTTGCCCATGCATATAAGGTTTCCAGTCTGGTGCACATCCATACCAACCAATCTCCAAGACAGATTCTTCCAGGTGGGGATCGTAATTTTTTTTTTCTTTCATGATATATCATTAATTAAAGAATAACTCAAACTCTGTATTGCCATAATGTATTTCATAGAAGTTTGTTGACCTTAACCAGATCTATGATGACGTAAACGACAAAGTGATCCTTTGACAGTTACAACTTTTGGGTTTGACTAGAGAGTTTTGACAATACATGTACAAAAAAAAAAGTCTGAAAAGTTAGCCAGATGTAATTTTAGTGGCATGTAATTTTTAGATGGCCAAACATTGATTTCCCTTGATTATGGTTTTGACAAGGAAGAGAAGGCATTAAAAAGAGATGTATTTGACAGGACCATAGGGATAAAACCTTATGATATCATAGTTAATGTAGCAAAAATTTCAATACATTTACAGTATTGTTATATTTTTCAGATAATCCAAGATGGTGGCTGCCACACGTAATGAGGATTGTCTGTGTGAGGTATCCATAGGAACGGAGCCCCGGGTTCTAACTGTGCGTGTCCCGGTGTCAATACCTACGAGTGTATGCCCTGTCGAACTGGCTCACCGTCTCATTCAACACCACAACCTTCCTATTTATTTACACAATGGTATTTTGACATTCTACAATAATTGTATGGTCTTATAGAGCTTGACCTGGGTACATAATCCCATGAATCTAATCACCAATAGTTTGTTACTTGAAATTATCATGAGATGTTGTTTCACATCATTATAAACTAGTCCATCAATTAATTGCTATATTATAACACCAAACAGAACTAAGTGAAAAGTTGAAAATTGCCATCCAGGACAAAACAGAGGAACACTATAGACAGCAAGATAAGCGTGCTATACAGGCACTCCAAGAGGGAAAAATCAACATTAAGGATGTGGCTGCAGCTTGGGCTAATAAATATGCACAGGTGTTGCTTGATATTTTTATTAATTATATCCACATGATAAATGCATAGTTGAGGTTTTTATGCAAGTACATTTCTTCTTATTTTCATTTTTTAGCGATGGATTTGATAATGCATTGACTCACCAGGTTAATAAGAGGCAAGAAGATGAGGGTTGTGAGAATGAGATGTTGGCAACCATGTACCATTCCCTCGTGCACTCACCAGCGGCAGCGAATCTGATTGGCTTGGAGCATTCCTTCTCCAATGCCATGAGCTCCCTTGTGTCCCAGCGGGAGCATGCTTTGAAGGAAATCAGTGAGAGGTACTGGTTTTCTTCATAACATTTGCCTGGAGCTGGTTTTACTGCTTTGTATTTTATTTTTTATTTTTTATTTTATTTTTTATCATGTAATGACATTTAATTTGATTGTTTGATAGATTTTTTCTTTTTTCTTTTCTTTTTTGTGCATGTGTGGATGGATGTACAGTATATACATGTCTGTGCCTCTATACATGTGTACTTCTGCATTTGAACATGTGTATATGTATACACATGTATATTCATCAACAGTCAAAACAAAAGGATTTATATCCAACAGACAGACCAGAGAAATGAGTGAGACTGTAAGTGCTGTTGGAGTGCACTTCACTGATGATGACGTAAACAATCTAGCTGCCCGACATCTGGAAGACTCCCAGTTGATGGAGGTTCAGTGGGACTCAACCATCTCTGTGCTTAAGGAAGACCAAGAAAGGGACTTCAAGAACTTTGTTATGGAGTCCTTTGCTGGGCGGGAGATCACAACACCAGTGACTCCAAAGTATGCTTTCTAGTTTTTTAGCTATTATATTTCTTTTGAGCCTAAGCATATGGGTACTTGCTTTTATTGTAGGAGGGATATTAGAGATAGACTTTGGTGTCAAGTTTATATGTCAGTTGTTTCTTTAGCAAAGATATATGTACCCTTGAATGAATTATACTTTTTGTTTTTGTGTTTTCAGTCATCAGGAATTTCATTCAAGATAGTTGTGTGTCAAATTGCTTAATATTTTTGTTCTGAAATCTCAAACACCAAATTTTAAGTAAATATGAATTATAAAACCATTTTTTCTTCCTTGTTCAGAGACTTTATACTGGGCTCAGACACCGTAATGACAGAGGCGACAGAACCCACCCAGGAAGAAAGCTTTACCATACATCTTGGCGCACAGATGAAGCAGATGCACAATCTCCGTTTGCTGTCTGCAGATGTCCTGCAACTGTGCAAATATCAGTCTCATGATGCAAGGTGAATTTAGAGCATGGAGCTTGTTTGTGTCAGAACCCTAACGTTAACTTCTCTTAGTCATTCATTTTGATTAATTTTTATTGTTTAGTATGAGTATAAAATTAATCATTCCTTCTTGTTTATATACTTCTCTTATTGTTTAGCATGAGTACCTAATCAAAAATTCCTTCTTGGTTATATGCAGCGCCATTCCACCTCAGCGCATCCAGACCTCAATGAGTCTCTATTCTCACAACCTAAATGGTCTGGTGCTCTTGGTTGATGACCGAATCAACACCTATACGGGCATCAAGAGAGGTAATGGGGGAGCATGGTTGAAGTAAAAGATTGAATATTGAGATCATTAAATAACATCCAGCTATGATGGTCAAAAAAAAAAAAAGAAGGAAAATAAATCAATTTATAACTCACTATTTTGTAAGTTATAAGGATGAATAAATATATGTATTATTGTAAATATTCAAAACTTATCAAATTCTTTCTATCTTGATTCTTCGTATCTGCACAGAATTTGGCCGAGTCTGTGGCAGGACGACCGAGTTGCATTTCCCAGACTTGGAGGATCAGTTGGAGTCCACCAGAGACTTAGTTCCTCAGGTTGTTCAGTGGCGTCGGGACCATCCTCCTCCACAGTACGATTGCGATGAGGAGGCAGCAGTATGTGTTGGATTTAATTGTAGTATTAGTTGTATTATGAGTGCTATTACTAATATTATTGTTAAGATTTATAGGTCATAGTGGCTGTATACAGGTTCTTAGCAATATATGCATATACATACATATTTGTATATGCAGAGTTGGAATGAATTATCCTCTACATACCATTCTGTATATTGAGCTCTGCTTACTGCTACATGGAAAACAGATACAAATCAAGTGACAGCACCTTAAGTATTGCTTGTACAAGAAAATAGTAGTACAGGCACTACTATATATTCATTGATACTGCCAGTCACTGCCAATAGTCAAGGAGCTGGTGGTTGTAGTAGGCAGTGCTCTTTTGATTTACAAGCTAATAGAGTGAGATAATTCTGGAGTATCAGAGTGAGTACCTCTGAGTATCTGTGAGTTTTCTTTCTTCAGTTGAATTTTTGTATTTTCTTTTACAACCAGTAGACTTTAAGATTGGAATGCTTGATTAAAAAAAAAAAAAAAATTGGAAGGCAGGTAGCTGCAGCAAGAGCATCTGCCTGCAATGACAAGCCGTCTATGATATGATCATTCCGCTGTGGCAACCCCTCAAGGGAGAAGCCGAAAGAAGAAAGTATTCCCTTTTTTTTTTATATCTAATGTCATTATGTCTGACTTTTCATTTGACTTACAGTGGCTTCTCTTTTTTTCCAGCCTCCTCCTCCAGTGCCACAGCACCTCAAAGCTGGCGACTTCTACATCACACGCCACTCGAACTTAGCTGATGTGCATGTGGTGTTTCATATGATTGTGGACGATTCTCTGCGTTCTGGGGACATCAATTCTCGCCATCCTGTTATACTAGGACTTAGAAATGTTCTCAAGGTTTGATATAGGAGGTATCTTATGTTGCAAATATGGGTCATTAGTGTGTTTTTCAGTATCAAAGAAATGGTATGGGTATTATATTTTTTAAATTCTCTTATTCCAGATTGCATGTCTGGGAGACATAACAACACTCACCATCCCCCTTTTGCTGACAAATTCCATGTCAGAGGTGAGTTGCTCTGTCATCATCTTATATTTCCTATTCTGATGTTTCTTTGTTGTCTTATTTGCTAGTCTTTTGTTCATCTCCTTTTTATATTAGTTGAATATTGATATTTCAAAAAGAGAGAAAGAATTAAATTTGTCAAGTTCTTTTACTTTATTTTTCATTAAGTTGATTATGAACATGTATACATTAGTTTATAAACATATATCTAATGTCATTATGTCTGACTTTCATTTGACTTACAGTGGCTTCTCTTTTTTTCCAGCCTCCTCCTCCAGTGCCACAGCACCTCAAAGCTGGCGACTTCTACATCACACGCCACTCGAACTTAGCTGATGTGCATGTGGTGTTTCATATGATGTGTGGACGATTCTCTGCGCTCTGGGGGACATCAATTCTCGCCATCCTGTTATACTAGGACTTAGAAATGTTCTCAAGGTTTGATATAGGAGGTATCTTATGTTGCAAATATGGGTCATTAGTGTGTTTTTCAGTATCAAAGAAATGGTATGGGTATTATATTTTTAAAATTCTCTGATTCCAGATTGCATGAGAGGAGAAAGAATTAAATTTGTCAAGTTCTTTTACTTTATTTTTCATTAAGTTGATTATGAACATGTATACATTAGTTTATAAACATGTCTCCAATTCTAAAAAAAAAAAAAAGATTAATGCAGACTCTTAATAACTTTTGCTATGCAGGAAATGACAATGTCCTGGTGCCAGAAGCGAGCAGAGCTGGTTTACAAGTGCATAAAGGGTTTCATGATGGAAATGGCATCCTGGGGTGGAGCCGAGATGAAAAACATGCAGTTTCTTGTCCCAAAGGTATGGTGTAACTCCTGTGATTTTATGATTCTTAATGTTGTCAGGTCAACCTATTAGTGTCATGACTTTTTCTTGTTATTTAAAATTATACTTACGTTGAAATTAAGGGCTGTACTCAAGAAACTTTTCCCAGGACTTAACTGTCAGATCTGATGAAAATCTAGGAGTGTTGGTTATACCAGGACTAATATTAGTTGTACTCAAAAAGTCTTTTAATCAGTTGAGTCACCTGATGCCACTAGTTGTGACTTCACAGGCTACTAACAGATGATCAAGAGTATGAAACTATTAGGTATTATTTATTTATTTATAGAAAATTTTCTGCTGCGTCAACATCTAAGATCATTATCGGCACATTCAATACATAGCGTTATAGGCAAGGAAGTGCTTATAAAGTTCATATGGCACTTTGGTCAAGTAGAGTAGCAAAAAAGGCTAGGAATGAATTAATGATTAGGGTAAAGTTACAGGTTGAACAGCACTAGAGGGTAGTATGGGAGTGAAAAGGGCAGAGAGGGGAGCTGGTGGGGTATGGTATGAGAAAGGTTGTTAGAATGGGAAGAGTTAAGGGAGTATTACGATAAAGTAGTATGGTGAACATGGCATAAATGAGTTTACGATTCAGATAAGTGGACAGAACAAGGGGATGGAGAAAAGGAAACGGAAAGGAGAAGAAAAGACCATGCAATTTGAGGCGCAGGCTGATTCGCTACACTGGGCCTCAGTTCATGTCCTAAGCCCCCCCCCCCCCCCCTACGACAAGAAGCCACGTAGGGGGGGGGGGGTGTGACTGTTAGGTAGTACTTGAGGGATTCCAGGAAAATATTCTTAAGTACACCCCAAAGTTTCTAACCATTATGTATTATTGTTTAGAATGACAATTACAGGTTCTGAGTGCTTGTTTTTAAAACAATCTTTGTAATGGATAAATGATTCTTTTCTTGGGTAGGTGGGGGGGGGGGTTATAGTTTCATTGTTAAAATCACCATGTAATAAATTGAAAAGGTAGGAAGGAGGCTGATATAAAATAATCACTTTATAAAGATAATATTTAGAAAGACAAATATGGTATAGAACTATTTCTGTATTCTGTTAACCTTTAACTTAAAAATATTCCAAATATAGGAAAGTGAAAGATTGAAACTCGGAGCATCTGCCTTTTCAGACTGGTATCACTTCTACAGACATTGCTGAACAGCCAGCTCTCTAAGCTCACTCTTGTGAACATCCATGGTTCTACATTATTATGAAAGATTATTTCTCTAAATCCACATTTTCCACATTTCAGGGAATATCTGAGGACCTGTTCCAGCATTTGGCAGCCATGTTACCCAATATATTCCGGGTGTCAAATCCTTTGGTTGTCAAGTCTTCGTAAGATAAAGGAAAAATAATTACATGATCTGAGGTAAAAGTTTTTCTGATGCTAAGAAGAGATACTAAAGCAAAACAGTAATTGTATGTAATTACAAAATGAAGTGAATTGTGACATGTATTTTTTTTTTCTAATTATTATTTCATTCTAAAATATCTGAAACAGTCATTTAGAGATGTACCCATTTTTCACATAAAATTAAAAGGCTTATATATTAAGTAATAATTAAATAACTGACCAAATTTTTTATATGTATTCTCCTGATAATAAACTACATTAATTAGTATATTATACAAGTCTCTATCCTTAGAGTTTTCTGGGTTTACAGTAGAATAGATCAATTACTTATTTTTTATGAACAAAATATCAAGGTAAGGTACAGGAGGGTTCAGCATGGATTAGTGATTTCAGTCTTTTTTAACAAGTTCAAGGGATTTCTGGAAAGTCAAGATGCTACTTACATAAATGCATGCAAGAATACAGATAACAGACAAAGGCCAACTTACTTGGGTTTAGTGATAAGAGAAAAGATATCCACTGATTGCAGTTTATTTTTCTGAATGTTACATCAAAGTATAGCATCTGTATTTTTATTATATAAATATATTTCATAATAGTTCTTGATACAATCATTGACAAAATTAATTCCACTGTTCTTCTGACAAAAGATTTGAAGTAATGTTAAATATAATTGCCTAACTACAGACCGTTTGAAGATAAATGTTGTATGGAAACCTCCAAGCTCATATCATCCTGCATCTGTTCTTTCATTCACAGAATTCCAAAGCTTTGGGCAGTGTTGATACTTATCCCACCATGGAAAAATGATTTTAGAAAAGTTTTCTGTTGCTAACAACTCTTCAAATTATAATTATCATTCCTAAAAATAAGACAAATATGTATGAGTGATTACATTTTGAAACCTGGGAATAGCAAAGTGCTATTTATTGTCATTTATACTGATAAATAATACATTTTGTACTTCATTGGATAATACACAAATTACATTGTAAGGCCCATCTACAATATCAGGCAATGCCCTTACTCTGCCAAAGGTTATACTAATAGTGTCCACACTGGTTTTAGTATATCAATTGGCAAATGCAGGGTGGAGGGAAGTGCACGAAAATTGATGCGTAAATAAGTAACGGAACAGAAAACGGAAAACTCAGCACATGGTTAAGTTGAAGAAAAGTACTGGGAGGCCTATAGCACTGAATGCCAGGCTGTTTTTTCATTCCATTGCCGCCTTCAAACCACCAGTCTGTATCTACCGATTTTTCAACATGGGCAATTTACTTTATTGCTATATTGCAGGATTCCTTGTTGAAGTAGCTACATGGTGTTTAGTAATGGACTTATCATTCATGAACAATGCCTAATGGCACACAGTCAGGGTCCTTGCAAAGAAAAGTCTGAGACATGTTTGGGCTACCAACACTGTGGTGTAGGGCACTAACTCTGGCTAGTGGCCAGTCGGCAGGCTGAAGTGGAATATCTCTATATCAAGGCCTGTCTGCAAAAGCAGGCATTATCAGCTGACAAGGATAGGCATGAATATAAATTAGGTCCCAGATGGGCAAACTAGTCTGTAAACAAGTAGATTCCCCATTGTTTTTTTGTCTGTAACTTCACCTTTACAGGGCCCTCTGATCATGCCCACTTATGGGAACAGATCTTAACATAGTTGAAGGGGAAGAAGGAAAAGAAAAGCATATTGATTGTTATACAGAGTAAAAGAAAGGAGCAGAAAGGCCATTTCACTCAACTGTGGGAACAGGCAGGCTACAGAATTGCCTCTCAAAGTAGTCCTAGTGTCTGTTGATGGACAAAACATTCATACCAGCTTGGCAATACCCAATAGTATAAACGAGTCTTGTTCTTAAAAGTCCCACAGTCACATAATAATTCACTTCAATGATGATCATAACTATCTGCTGATGTAATCCCATGCATCCAGTGTCAAGTGAACTTGTTCAAGGCCACATGAATTAAAATAGTAACAGCTTCAGAAAAAAAAAAAATTTACAAAAGTTGATACAAATGAAGAATCTTAGATCTATCATATGCAAAATACAAGCATATGAAATTTCAATCTATTGGACTTGTCAATCAATTTTCAGACTTGGATGCAGAAACAATTTTATTCTAAATTTAAGTTTCAGCAAAACAAACTCCATCAATTTCCCTCAAAATCACAAATGCATATCCTTAAAACACAATATGTTATCAAGTCTCCTTTATTCACTGGTTTTTATTGATGTGAATTGAATACCAACATTTACTTTGCATTTCAGAATGTATTGTACAAAAATAAAGGATGGGGAAAAGAACAAGAAAAAGGTACAATATTGACAAAGAAATAATCAGAAACAGAAGTGCGTGAACATACTAGAGACAATCAATTAGGAATGTAGCAAAATTCTAATTGAATGGACTGAAGTAAATTTGGAAGAGGACTATGAGGAGGTACAGAAAGATGGAGATAGAGAGAGAGAGTAATAATAATAACAACAACAATGGTAATAGTGCAAATAGTAAACTTGGCAAACTTTTCCAAGTTAATTCACATATTTCAGTCATTTCAGATTGGGTCACCTACATCATGTGAAAGGTTTAAATGAATAACATTTAAGAAATATTTTTTTACTTTCCACTGGGAGAGAATATAAAATGCAATACATTAAACCTTTGTTCGTACCAGTTTACATGCCTGGAAATATAACTTGCCTCACATAAAGTGACCTCCCACTCCTTTAAATAGTGATTATCTGTAACACATACAATGCTCTTGCTAAGCAATATTTGAGTTTCCTATTATTCCTCTAAAATAACAAAACAGAACCAATAATAAAATGAAAAAATAAATTTGCTTCATAATGAGAAATTGAACCCACAACTAAAACTTAGCAATGCTTATAACTACAGGTCAAGTTATTTTCCCATATCCAACTCTTGGAGTGAAGTGACGTTCCTATGCCAATCTACACTAAAAACATTAAAACATGAATATACAACAAAACATTTGTTAATTATTCTTTTCCTATGGTACAAAAATAATTAAAACAATTACCTTGTAATTGTGTGCAGACCTTCCTCTAATGTGCCCTTCACATCACAGGAACATAAGATCTTGACTTCTAGATGTTGCAAAATTAGTGTGTATCCATGAAACCAGACTAATATTTAAACAGAAATGTTTTGAAATCTTCTAAAATTGATATGCACAGTATAACTGGAAGTGTGAAACAATACCATGTGCACTACATCATCAACTGAATATAATTACAAGTTTACAACATTTATCCTCCATCATTCTCCTTGAAATCAAGCAAAAACACTGCTTAAATAGGCCACACAACATCACTTAATTTATCTAACCAGACACCCGTTGGAGACCCTGACATTTTGTAATCCTAGATCAGCATACTCCAGACTCTACATCAAATCTCTTTCCATTCCTCAGTCATCCTACTACGCAACCACTGCTAAGAACTGGGGCATTCGAACCTCCTTAAGAATATCTAATTGGTAAGAGCACCAAGCACTTACACAAAAATATCTAAAATATCATGGGCTACAAGAATACATAAGACTATGATGCAAGTGAATGATTGGTTCCCCTGCATGCCATCAGACCTTGAAATTATGCCTAGAGCTTTGCACATATGCAGAGGAAACATCTTGATTTAAAACATCAAGAACTCAGAAACCATCACTCTACCAGAGATGCAAGATCTGCCATGTCAGCCTTCACTGTTTTAACCAGGAACTGTTAAAGTCCAGTATCTGGATTTATTTCCTGAAAGAGTAGAAGAAAAATATATTAGTTCTGTAGTCTCCAATAATTACTAGTTCTGAAAGACCTAACATGGCCATCACAACCGAAAACAAAGCCATTTCTTAAAACATCCTTTACAGTTATGTCAAAAGAGAAAAAAAAGCAAGTAACTTATGTACAAACATACTCTCCGACAAGGCCTCGACTACCTATCACTCTAGGTGGTCAGGGGAGGTGTATACACATACCTCTACCAATATCCATCTTTCACAAAACCTTAATATTGTATACAAGATTGCCCGGCATTCATTCTGAGCAGTAACAGCACCGACACTTACCTGCTTTTCTTACTGTCGCGGTGTCTGTCTCCCGAGTCAGAGCGCGACCTCTTCTTGTCCGAATGCTTACTACTGCTGCTGGAATGGTGTCGACTCTTGTCCTTGCTCGGGGACTTGTGCGAGGACTTGTGCGGGGACTTGTGCGGACTCTTGTGGGACTTGTGATGTTTGCTGCATGGGTGGGGAAAGGAAAAGTGTGTTAATAATTTACCAGTGACTACTACTCATTAAAAAACAAGAAACAAAAAATATTAAGGCTTTTCTTTAATCCTAGAACTTATTCATACTGACTAAAAAGATTTAAAAAAAAAGTCAAGTCCATGAATTAATTCTAAAAACCAGATCTTTATTTACATTTACCTGTCATGTTTGGAGGATTTGTGTTTTGAACTGAAATAGAAACAATCTTAAGCATCAGAACAGAAAAAAATATATACTTAAATAATCAACTCGTTAACTTCTTTATATACATACATATATATGGATGTGTATATAAATATATACATATCTTTCATACTGTGTGTGTGTGTGTGTGTGTGTGTGTGTGTGTGTGTGTGTGTGTGTGTGTGTGTGTGTGTGTGTGTGTATATGTATGTATGTATGTATGTATGTATATATATATATGTATATATGTATGTATATGTATGTATATGTATGTATGTGTATGTATGTATATGTATGTATATGTATGTATGTATGTTTGTATGTATATGTATGTATATGTATATGTATATGTATGTATGTATATGTATGTATATGTATATGTATATGTATATATATGTATGTATGTGTGTATGTATATGTATGTATATGTATGTATGTGTATGTATATGTATGTATGTGTATGTATATGTATGTATGTGTATGTATATGTATGTATGTGTGTATAGATCTATGTGTATATATATATATGTATGTATGCGTGTGTGTATGTATAGATTTATGTGTATATGTATATGTATGTGTGTATGTATGTATATGTATGTGTGTATGTATGTATGTGTTTGTATGTATGTATGAATGTATATATATATACATACATTCATAAATACATATACATATTCTCATACACACACACACATTTCCATACATACATACATTCCTGCATGTACATATATTGATTTTTAAACATTTTCAAAGAATTACTATCAACTGTTACAGCTATCTGTATACAAAGTGTGAAATTACTAAATATTTGTATTACAGTTAATTATTACCAACATAAAAGGACCTAAAAAGTTGAACTTAACAAAACTCCACATACTTTACTTTACTTTACTTTCACTCACTCACTCACTCACTCACTCATGTATGTTTATGCATTTAGTAAACACAAAAGCAAAAGTTCAACAATGGTCCCTGCCAGGCATAAGCTTCCAATTATAACCTATATCAGGCTCAACACTTGTCTCCACCACTGCCTCCCTCTCCATCTCCCTCTGTGGTGCAGTGCAATACACGTATGGGTTATGTCTGGAAACATATGCCAGGGCAAAATTTGTTGGCAGATGCAGGCAAATTGTAAATGCATATGGATATGCATGTGTATATAAATTGTGTGTGTGGGGGTGCTTTGCTGTAGGTTGTACATGAAGTGTGTATATAATAAAAATAACAGTTTACAAAACACACAAATATTTTGCATTAGTTGTATGCATGCACAGAAACTTTCATCTATATCTACCTAAACATTAACATGTAATTTAAGAAAGAAAAAAATAAATGAGAAAGAAATGAAGAAAAAGTGAGATTATACATGCTTAGAGCTCCCATAAAGCCATTCTGAATTTCCTTAGTTAGCACTTTTGGACAGATTTATACTTTTATATCCATCAATCATTTTGAGATTCCTCAAATAACTAATCACTTCAGTTGGGTAAAATATTCTAAAAAGACTTTTGTATTATTAGAAATAGCAATTGAAATTCCACATCGGCTGAAACCAAATAAAGTTGCCAAAATCAAAAAGGAAATGTCATGCTTGAAAAAGCAAGTACTAATCCTGAAGTTGGGAAAAAAGTAATAAAACTAGAATGACCAAACGCATTTCTTAACATATCACTAAAACTTAAAGGTTGTCATTAAGGTTAAATGGTGGTGAGAAACTGAACCCGAGATGACATATTTATGCATTACATGTCGTCGTAATGCATAAATGATAATCTGAACTGATAAGAGAATGATAATGTTATGAGCATGTGCTAAACGGTAAAAAGAGCCCATTTAGTCAGTACTTGCTCAAACGCCTTTCCTTGTTCGATTTCATGGAGGACTTCATGCTTAATCTGAAATATAATGTACTGGTAAAATCCTAACCGACTGTATGCTAAAATAGTTTTGTATTTCCTTGCCAAGTGTGCTCCATACAAACAATGCAAAAGTGTACAGCACACACTAGTGCAAGTCAGCATACCTCTTACGATGGTGCTCATTGTACTTGTCGCGGTAGCTGCTCCCGCCACCACTGCCCTTTTTGGACTTGGTGTACTCGTCCTGGAAGTCCTTCTGCTCCTTGTCCGCCTCGGCAGCTTCCCTCTCCAAGTCGGACCAGTCTTTGCCGGACTCCTCACTGCTCCCAAGGTCTGAGGAGAAATCACACCGTAAATCCCAAAACCAGAGCATACCCTTTGAAGTACTGTTTATGATGGCTGATCTGAAGGAGTTCTGGGTATTGCAAGCATTTATTTATTTCTAAGTTTCTAGTAGGTTTACCTCTTTAAGTACTATAACAGAAAGGATTTGCTAATATCAGCAACATAAACTGAAGTGGCTAAATACGAAGTATCCAAGTTTTTTTGTATTCTCTCCAATAGACATTTCAAAATACTAAGGTCTTACCCTCACTGTAGTCTGACTCTGAAACCTCAGACTCTCCCTCAGAGTAGTCCTCACTCTCCTCCTCTGAGCCGAGTTCTTCGTCAGTGGGATTGTAAGCACCGTCATCTTCTGAATCCTCCTCTTCCTCTTGGTCGGCTTCATCTTCAGAATCTGGGTCTAAGAAAGACCATCCACCCTACATGGAGTAGAAATTTGGAAAATAAGGGAATGTACTTAAAGACCATCAACCCAAAGCTGACAAACATGGCATGTACATATATGCCATGCCCACAGTGAGTCTACTTTATTGACTTTATTTTACACATAGATGGCTACACTTGCACTAAGTCCCCATTGAGCCAATTATGAGTACTGCTTGTCTTGCCTGTTAACCCTTTTCCTTGATTTTCAAAAATATTTTACATTATCTCATACTGCTGTTACAAATGTGTACAACATTATAGTAACTATTATGTCTATAATAAAAACACCATTGATATTCATAGCATTAGTAAAAAATAGTTTTTCCTGCAAACTCAAGGTAAAGCCACAAGGTTTACTAATTGACTCCTTTGTGGTTAAGTACTTGTAGAGCCATCTATGTGCAACGACATTTCACCAAAAATAAAAAAATGAGAAACTGCATTCTCCAGGTGACACCAAGTTAAAAGAAAATGGGGAAGAAAGAAGAAAAATATAAAACTGCACATAAAAACTATTATAATTCTGAAAATGTCTAGATAAAAATAATTAATATAATGTAAGGACAACAACATTAAGTTTCAGCAAGTACCTGCTCAAAGAAACCATCAGGGTCATCAATGATGGTCTTCATAACCTTGGCCCAGTTCAACGACTGCACGCCCTCGGAATACCGGATATCACATGAGCTAGAAAAAACAAAACAAAAAAAAAACACATGAGCACTATTCCTCAAATAGGTTCCTGAAAACCTTTACAATTATTTTATAACATAAAATACAGATAAAATTTATTCAGAGCAACTTCCTCTATTCTCCAGCTTTGCAACACCTGTTTTCCACTTTAACAATCACATTCGTTATTTCATTACTCGAGTCATTCAAACCGTCTTCACAAAAATAGCAAAAAATACATACTTGAGCCACTCTTTCACATGATCAAGCATGTTCATTGGGATGGCATTGATCATGGCCGTTTTTCTGGTGTAATCCTTAAACACAAACACCATATCGAAGTTCTTTAGGTGGAATTGGACTCTTTCAAAATGGACTAATTCTATTTCGTCCAACACTATCACAAACGGAGGCCACTCAGTCAAGTTGACAATACACCCTGGAAATCAAAATGCCATTGTTAGTATGGCAACATGTATGCATGAACAATGCAATATAATTGGGGAAAAACAAACTAAATATGCAATAAAACCTTATGCAGCATTATCAATTCAGAAATCATGATAAGAGAAAAAAAATCCTTACTAACATCTCTTCTCAATTAGCCTGAGTCATATTGCCATAGTATAAGCACTATAGTGAATCATGTGAACCCTTTGGTACCTGAGGTTGGCTGCAGGAGAACAGTAGAACGGAAGGGAGCACCAGGGAAACCAAGCTCACGGAATGGGGTGTCAAATTCAATCTGGTGTTTTGTCATTGTTTCCACCTGAATTAAGGGATTTAGGATTATTTCTCTTTCTATGTTAAATCTACATTACTGTAATGCACCCTTTATCTTCAAGCTTTATCTTAATCTACAACCACCTGTGCAAATTCATAACTATTATCTATTCAGTCACCCATTTCTCTGTCTAAATGAAATGAAATTTTGTGAGCCAGGAAACTGGCCTCCATCTTAACCCTTCCTACCTTCTCTGTAAAGCTCTTGAATGCAGATGTGAGTTTGTGTCGTAATTCTCTCTCTGCCTGTTCTGCCGACAAGTCATCACGGTCGTGCATGTGCTGATGCTTGCCCAGATCTGTTGTGATCTCACCCACTTCAGTGTAGAACTGTACATCTACATGTTTCTTTTTGCCAAACATGATTGCATGCTGTCGATGGGAAAAATACCTGTTTATATGATGCTCATAGGCCTAAATGTCATGAAAAATATTTTATAAAACAAGCAATCGAAATAAATGACAAAGTAAGAGAAAAAGATTTAAAAAATGGTAGCATTAAAAATTTAACAATACCCTATCAAAGTATTTGCAATATTGTATTTTTCAAGATTAAAGCACTCATTCTGCAGGTCTTGTTAATCCTTTTTACTTGTAGAATATCTTTCACAAATCCATTCCCAGTACATGACTATCTTTCATATAATGAAAATATCCTCCATAAGTTACTTGACAATAACACCCCTTCATTAAGCCTTCCTTACAATTACATTAAATAAAATGCTGCAGAAAAGACCCTTATAATCTTGCCACATCCGTCCAGTCAAAAGTAATCACCTCACCAAGTATTTGAAAAGAAACCCAAGTGTACGAACCTTAAGGTGGAAATGAAGAAGAATGATCATCTCTCCCTCACAGGGCTGGAAGAATGCATTCTTGATGTTGTTGTACAGGATGTCTACTTTGTCACCACGAACACTTGTATATCTGTGTGAACACTCAAAGACCTCAACAAAGAGATAAAAAAAATTTATACATTTAGTTGAGTCAAGTTAAGAAAGATGGATGGAAGCAAACAATGAAAGAAACAGTAAGTCCACAGTAATTTCTTACCTGAAGCCATTTGTATGTGCCTCCAGTGTACCGTTTATTCTCTTCTGCACAATGTTAGGGCGAATATACAAATCCTTCAGCTTAGGGTTAGACTTGTTATTGGAGACAATGAGTGTGTCCTGTTTGACCAGATCTTCCTTTTCCTTCTCCTCGGCTTCCCTTGTCTTGAATTTCTTCTGCACTTCCTTGATCAATCGGAATGCTGTGTTGAGATTTGCGGAGGGTGCAGAGAGCTCTCCGGGCTCCTTTGTGTTTGTACTACGGTATGTTCTGCAGATTGTATGGGTTTGGGTTGTCAGTGGTATTAAAGAAGAAATTTAAGTAAAAACATAAAACAGTGTCTGGCCTTTTTTTCTGGACTGTTTTGTAATTTTCCTCTTCAGATAAAGGCTTCTAGGCTAAAAAAAACAGACGGGGATATTGGATATTTGTCAACCTAAAAGACCCTAGCAAGCGTGAAAAACCTTTAGTAGAGTGAATTGCACTACTGACTCCCAACATGATACAACTCTCCCAATCTGGATCAGGTGTCAGAAGTTTTTTCACTTTTATAATGTTTATTATACTAAATACCAAAACTATTTTTCCTCCATGTAACAAAATTTAATCTAAAACTTAAGGAAAAGGGAAAATCAGGTCAATGTCACATACGACAATTATTACAAACATTTCACAAAACTTTACTGAACATTTAGAGTTCATTGTGGCAATGAGTTAATTACAAAAGTGACACTGAACTGGTCAAAAAGACTGAGGACTACAAGAGCAAAGCTACCTTTTTCCTAGCTTTAAAATAACAAGAGAAACTCACATTTCTTTCAAGAAGACAGCATCGGGATTAGGGAATAAGCCATCACTTTTACCAATGTTTGAACCCGGGTGGAAGAAGTTAATTCGGAGATATGTGTAATCTCCCTCAACGCTCTGGGAAATATTTTTGATCATGGATATATGGAAAGGTACCGGCAGGCCATAGATGGGCAAGATGACAGTCTCGTATTTGCGATCTGGAAAGCAGAAAAAGCAATGATTCATTATAACTAAAGAAGAAAAAGAAGATCTAGGATAGATATTTAAAAAGAAAAACTAACAAAAAAAAAAGGGTTACACACACACACATCTATATATATATATATATATATATATATATATATATATATATATATATATATATATATATATATATATATATATATATATATATATATATATAAAACATATCATCTGCAAGCAAGTCTTGTACCTAAAATGCATATGGTGGTTCTCTTTACACATGCAATGGTTACTGAACATATGCAAACCAACAAATGTACATAAAATAATAAACAATACTTACCAACAAAGATCTTCAGTTCAACAATTTCTGGTTCCTTAGGGAGTAGGTTTGCCGATCTGTAAGACACAGTCGATTTGCGGACTTTCTGGTCTTCCTTCTTGCCCTTCAGAAGTGCCAGACGCTCCTTTGCTGCGTCGTTCATCATCACTGCCAACTCCTTCTGGTGCTGACGACGCTTTTCTTCCATTGATTGCTCTGACTAAAGGAGTGATAACAGATCATAAGTATCCTGATTACATGATGTAGCATAAAGTTTGCTTTTAACATGAAAAGACCAGCAGCAAGATGCAGAACACCTAAGAGTAAAAAATAATCCAGTGTGATTAGAACCACAGCTAACTACCCCACACCAGTAATATCAGTTATAGATTAGTACAATACTATTGCTAACTACACCAAGTATATGGTCTAACCTTAACCTTCCTTCAACAGAAAATGTAAATTTGCTCGAAATCACAGGAATATCAATGACATGAAAACATGAAAGTCAATGAGTTGATGACCCTGCTAATGAATTCCATTAACATAGTACCATTTTGTGGTACTTGCTTACTTCTCCATGAAAGTGTTTTTAGTGTGCTACATAACATGCATGTGGTTCTATTACACAAAGGAATGGATGTGTCATGGAAAATTACATGAGTGTGTGTTAGAGTCAGGAAATATACAAATACTTTAAATTATACATAACAAATGCTTTCCTTGCAAGATATCTAATCACATTTACTATTAATCTGATGTGACTATCTTTGATTTTTTTGTAATAGAGGTGAAACCTATGGTCAAAGTGTGTAGAAATGTAAGACTGTCTGCGTACCTGTATGTGTTTACAAGCACATCTAAAATCATGTATGTGAAAAAACACAAGCACGCGCGCACACACACACACACGCGCACACGCACACACACTCTTGAATAAATATGCATGGTGGCGGGAAGAAGAAGAAAGAAAACAGCAACTATAACTAGGCTATATTCTTTATGAATGGATGATGTGTACAAGTGTCATAACATACCGCTTGGTTTGCGGGTTACTGCTGAACATGTGGCGATGTGCCAGAGCACGTGGAGCGGGAAGTTCCACTACAAATAACGGACTCCTGCACCCAGTGTCTGGATGTTGCCAGAAAATACTAGAGTTTATGACGCCCAGGGATTGCTGATACCCGTCAGCGTCAGGTTAAAAACTAACACTATTTTTTTTAACCAATACATGGTGGATTAGTAAGTCTGAGCGCATGCAGATCTTTAGCTGCAGCAAAGTATACACTGATCTAGCAGTCACCTTTACCCATAAGCAGCTAAATATCACAATATGCTATGCAACTGTCGACAAAAATGGATTCAGCACTCCCCATGAGAACATTTGCAACTGAAGTAATCAATATGAATAATGCTTATTAAGAATAAAAGTTCCCTTTACAAGACTATGACTACAATGATAGCTACAATATGAAGAGAAGAATGTCTGACACTTTGAATTCACATGGATTTCTAAGTGGTGCAAAAAGCAAAATGGAAGAATCCAATCAATCCATCCATTCTGGTTTTTAAATCTTTAAATAAGGAATCAAGTGGATTTGAAATATAATCTATTAAGCTTTACCTGTAGTGGTTGTTTCACTTAAACTTCTGCATAAAATTCTAGTTTCCACATGAACAATGCTTCTGGCTAGTCATGCTATACTGATGGCAACATACCATCTAGTATTTCTAGTTCACTAAATAGCACGTCTTAAGTCAAGAAAACATTACAAAACAGAAACAAAACAATTTATATGGAACTATAAGAGTGAGAAATGACCTCTAGATGTTCTTACAGGCTATTCATGCAGTTGCTTGATACTTCTACTACAAAAATGCTGATTGCTGTCACCATTCTTTCAAACTAAAGATAGACCTTCAATCATAAGCTCTGAAAATTAGCAATCAGAAGCTCAGGATTTGGTAAATGTACCAACCTTGAGAACAAATACTTCCCAAGGCTTCTGTCTGAGGCTAACCATTCTTCTATTGACTTATGGAATTCCACTTCCAATAATGGCATTCAGCTACTGCATACCAAGCAAATATTTGCAGTCCATATATATGCCTGATACACAAGCACAAAAGAGCATACACCTTAAGACCTAGTAAAATATCTATTCTACAGATGAAAGATGCAGGATAAACAAGAGGGAGCTATAAAAAAACAAAAAAACTCAGCAGGTACAGTAACACACCACCTCACTTCCCAAGTACTATACAAAAGACAGGTCTTTCTTCCTGCAAGCTTTCAGCTTATAGAATCACATTTAAATCTTGCCAAAATTTATCTGCTTACAAAACCAATATTGCCTATCTGGTAAGATACTATATCAACTTATTTTGGCACTAACACTTGAAAGAGAACTGCATAATGAATGCCTAGATAAATTCAGCAAAATTTGCAATATTCAACAGTTTTCTTCTTGCTAATCTGAACTGGTAAATTAACATGCTGGTCAAAAATTCATGGACATAAAATAGTAATCAAATGATGAAGAAAGAAAAAGACAAACTCGGAGGAGGAGAAATAAAAGAGAATAAACAATAACTGGAAGAAGAAACCCCAGCATTAGATCGAGATCACAAAAGCCGTGTCCATAACATAAGTTAATAAATGAAAAAGCCTGTGTCATCCTCAGTATCTGCTAAGCCTGGAATTTGGTAACAGATAACCTCCCCTCACAGCCAAGAGGAATCATGCATATAGACCATGGCAATATATACTCACTGTTTGATGCTACACCAACCATACATGTAATAGAGAAATAGGCTTTAATTCACGGCACTCCATTATAGATTAATAACGAACACGTACAAAACATGTTTTTCTCCTTTCCCTCGTTCTTTCTTCTTCTTTTACAAGAAGGGGATTGTTAATTTCACACACCCATAAAGACAGGCAATTTTCATATTACACATGCAAAACTAAAGGCCAGTTACATATGATGAACATGATTGTTTTTTTATCTTATTAAGGGAAAGTAATTTCCCTGAATAAGACTATTCCTAACAGATTATCATCATTGCAGATCTTAAACTTTCCTAAATTCCAAACTCAGCTTTAGAAAAAGGAAACGGTCACTTTTAAAACCAAGACCAGATATTCAGTTATTTTACAGCATTGCTTTCTGCCAAAACATTCTCATTAAAAATCATCTATATACATAAGATAACAAAATGCCAATTAAAAACTGACCAAATTATTTACTTTTGCCTTTAGTGTCTTTCTTAATTCCAAATTCATAAAAAAAGCTGGTAACTCCTATTCCTACATCAAACTAAAAAAGAAATGGAAACTAATATCTCAGTCCTGAACTTCAATGTATGCACACAAAATAAATATTTTGAATAATGAAATTTCAAGCTCCAAAAGCTTCCAGACTATACTTGAGAAAAATGAATGCATCTTACCCTCAGCTTGGAGTCCAGAATGGCAGTGCGCTTCCCTCTTCCCAGCAACTCCGAAGTGTCTTCCTTCTCATCCTCTTCCTCCTCACCATCATCATCATCATCCTAAAAATAAAGTGATATCCAGTTCGTTATAACAGCAGGTCTGAGAATTGAGTGCCATCAAAAACGGATTGATTTTTCAAAAAGTCTGCCTTGTCAACAGCTAGGGCTGTCACTTAAGGAGAGTAGAAATCATATCTAAAATAATACACAATGAACAGCAACCTAATTTTTTCTCATAGCACAGATTAGACTTAAAAATATACACAATAAGCATATGAAGACAAGACCAATTCACAGAAATTTGCCTTTCACTGATCTTAATTGCTACACCCAAAACCTAACATTTAAATTTTCATTTTACATTGAATATTTAAAGGAAAGTTCAAGAATTTTTTTTTTACCTTCTTGATATACAAACCTTGAGGAAAACACCAATGTTCTTCAGCTTCTTCTTGCTTGATGCGGTCAGGACCGTTGCTGGTTGGCCCTGTCAATAATGATTTAGTTGTTGCTTCTCATTCAGACAAAATGGCACAGTGTTTATCACTTCAAACACTCATTTTCAAAATCTTTTCAGAATATAAGCTGGTGTGAAGCAGACTATACTCACCTCATTGACAACTACAGTGTCACCAATAAAGAGAGCATACTTCTTCCCTTCACTGTCTTTGGCCTCGGAGTTTGTGAGGTCTGAGAAACCGAGATTTACATTGTAGACCTGTCCCTTCTTGGCTGCTGAAGTCGTCTTTGGTCCAACCAAAAGTGAAGATTCACGGAACTCGATACCCATGCCAAACCTGGTGGTAGAAGTCCCTGTCTCTTAAAGCACACCACCAAATATCAAGTTGATATAGCAGCCACTTAATCTACAACTCCTTTTCTGAAGTATGCTCAAAATCTTAATAAAGTTTTGACTCACCCAACTGCCTTGGTTAACTTATCAACCAAATCTTCTCGCTTACTCTTTACATGCTTGTATACTTCATCATATACATCAGATAATTTGACCCCGTCCTGTCAAGGGGAGAATGCGTTGTAATCAACAACACCTGGGACAAATTAATTTGTTTGTTTCCTCAAACATTTTAACAAAATAATGACTCAGGAGTAAATATTGAAAAACTGGTGGAAAGATGTTACACATAAATAATGACAAACCTGTAATTTATTAATCATCTTGTCAAAAAGCTCAAGAAGAAACTCGTAATCCTTCTGCATGTTTCCTGCCGGGTTGACCATGAAAGTTCGACAGATATTGGAACAATAGTTCTTGTAGCGGACACCCATGCAGCAGACAATGGCACCAAAGTGCATAGGATTTTTGTCACTGTTGAAGGTAAATAAAATGTATCAACATTTATCTCCAGCAGAATGAAAAGTAAAATGCTATATGAAGAAATGCAAAAAAAAAAATCCAACTAAATATAAGCCAAATATCATGCCAGTCAGTTCTAAAATGAAACAAGACAAACTACAACCTTCTGTATCAATAATCACCTGTAATGAATCTAAACCTAACCTCAGCAAACAAACTTAGGCCTAGCTTTAATGTGAAATGAAAAGCTCTTTAAACGTTACCTTGAAACACTGAATTTCAGGGCATAGTTTCCTCCAGACTGAATAATGGGAGGGTAACAAGGCTCTATCTGCTGTGTGTCATAGCTACCCACATACTTCTTGTCAGTCATGGCTTGCTCCACTCCCTCAGCAAGTTTGGCATGCTTTACCTATTTGTACGAAGATAAAATGAGTGGGTGCGAATTCTTCTACTACACATAAACAAGTAGGATTTTAGCAATAGAAAATGTTAAAAAAATATTTGCACTTTTTTTGTACAACAAAGTGAAAATAACAAGCAGAACAGATTTTTGATTTCAGTCACTCTCAAAGATACATATCCATGCTCCAAGAACATGGATTTCATCGTCAACTGTCACAATCAGCTAAGAATCTCAACCAAAACTATATTCCAAACATGTTATCAATTCAAATTTAAGTTAATTTCATACAAAGCAAAGAACCAGTGCATTTTCACTGAACCTTCTTGTCTCTATCAATGATGTCCATAATCTGTTCCTTGAGGTACTTGGAGAAAACATCAACCGTTGCATTGCTAGCCTTCTTGATAATAGCAATCTCAGACTCCTCTTTTGCAGACATTACTAGGGCCATGGTCGCACTCATATCAACCTGAGGTATAGATCCACATTAGCTTTGCTATCCAGAACAGTATCATACACTTCATGCATAACAGAGAAGTTAACAACATGGCTAAAAATAACTGATGGGAAACTTGTATATAACTTCTGTCACAGGAGAAAATTCTTGAAAGCATGTCATAAGCTACCTGTTCGAAATTAGCTTCCTTTACTGCTTTTCTCCAAGCATCAATCAGCTCCGAAGAGAATTTATCTTTTGCGTACACACCAATCTTTGAGCCTCCCTTGCTTCCTTTAATGGCATCGACCAACTTGGATATGTTGGCCTTGTCTTTGTCGCTCTAAAAAGAAGAAAAAAATATTAGTAACTATCTAAATGCATACAGTTGAATTGGCAAAGAAATATTTATACGAGGAAAATATATAGCATTACTCGATAGTCCTCTTTCTTCACCCATGAGTGTCTTCATTTCCGATTGTGGGCATGTTGAAAAATCTTGGGACTATCAACAACTAGCGACATACCTTGTCCCTGATGAGCAGCTTGACTGGAGGAACATTGCTGTTTTCATCCTTGTGCTTTTCTAAACATTCTAGGATTTGGATCTGTAAAATTAAAAAGGTATATCATCCTCTCGTCATATACAATCATAGGGGTTCACTGGGAACACGGGCACTTTGGGCTTTTGGTGGGGTTACGTCTGTAAATTTTACCAAGATATGGTTGAAAGCCCATCGAGTTTTTCGAAAGTTGGTGGGAATGTCTCTCGAGTTTTACAAGCCAATTTTCACAAGTTTCTCATGCTGTTTTTAAGAATTTTTGTTGTATATTAATTCTATTTCAGCCAGCTTTACCACACAATTTCCCCAGTTAACTTCAGGCTCTCCCCTGCTATTGGGACTATCGCTTCAAGATTGTCAATGGAAATGGTACTCAGATTTCCTCAACAATGCATTTTCACAAGGGACAATGCTCTGAATTATTAAAATCATTGAATTTCCTGGAAAAAAACAAAAACAAAAAAAACATCAAAATTGTTTTGAAAGCAAGCCATTCCCCCACTGACTCAAATATTAATATAGGAAAGTAACTTCTGTTTTTTAAATATGAATGGTCTCAATTTTACCACATGAATCTTAATCAACTTTGTTTTGACTGAAGTAAATCCTTGAATGTTGACAAAGTCATACCTTCTTTTTGCTTGCAAGGAAGTAAACGGCCTTTTCGCAGCAGACCATGATGGTGTCAGTAAGCTCATATCCGAAAAGCCATGTCTGGGTTGCTGTTGATTTGGAATAAATAACTTCTTGGTCTGCCCCCACTGTTGACACCAGGGCATCAGCCTTCCCAAAGCCATCTTCCTTGTTGTTTTCTGCTTTCTGAAAGTGAAAAATGAATGGCATTTTAGTGGATGCTAAAATAACATTCCTTAATGTACATGTATAAAGAATTAAAAATTCATAGCAATCTCGGTTAATTTCTGCTGAGGTGAAAGACTGATAAAAGCATTTCAAGTTCTCTGTACATGACTTACATCCCTTACTTTTCTGGTAAAAAAATTATCAACTCAAGCTACGTTATCTGGAAACTGAATTCAGCTCTACTTGGTAAAAACAATATTTACACCACATATCACACCACTGCAAATTCATCCATAAAAAATGTGATAATCTACACAAAAATAAAATATTGTAGACCTTAACAGAACTGACAGAGAAAAGGAGAAGAAAAAAAGCTAATATCTATCATTTTGTTTTCCCAGAATTTGCACGACTTGCATTCAACCAACCCTTTCATCTACTACATTAAGTTTCCTGAACCATATCCTAGAGGGGAGGGGAGGAAGAGGAGATGGAGGAGGAGAAGAAAGCTCCCCCGGCAAATTATGTTCCAGCCCTACGCATCACTGAGCGATTTCCCAACTGCCTTCCTGCGAGAGATCCAGCTCATGCCAGTCCAACCAACATTGCACAATTGTTATTACTCTCGCAAGTACAACCTGAAAGTGAGGAGTCCATTCAGGTTCTTCTCCCTAATGCAAATCAATGACAAACACATCTGACAAAAAACTATATGGTAAAAGGAAAAGTTATCCTCTCATACCTGTTGCTAAGATAACATTCAACACAAGGGAATTTTGCAACAGAGACTGCGAATCAGAGGCTCTCGGGGTCTTCTGGCGGCAGAAGACGACAGAAGACGAGGGCAAGCAAACGCACATGCAATGCACTCACAGGGGAGGGGGGCTATTAGGGAAGGGGGGAGACAAAACCACCTTACTCTCAAATCCTGTCAACAAAGAGGCCAAACCACCTCACGTCGCCCTCCACCTGAGCCGCTGCCAGAGCACCCTTCCCCTGGAACTGCTGGCCGGCTGCCGGTCGCCCCCCCCCCCCCAGTTCCTCGGCGAGAGGCTCGACCGCCGCGACGAAGGCCTCCTGCTCCTCAGCGAATTCCTGCAGGAGGGCGGCGGCGACGGAGGCCCCGCGGCCCTTGGCCTCGCAGCACGTTGGGCGGCGCGACTGCGAGCGGCAATCAAGCGCGGCGGAATCGGGGACTAATGACCCGAGACACGCAATTCGACCCAAAAACCGCAGGAAAACAAACCCCCTGCGCTGGAACCCCCTCAGGGAAACACGACGCCCAAAGGACACGACACTCCTCTCTCGCTCTCCCCAAACCCTCCCGGACACGAGAGCCTCATTATTACCCGTCTTCCTCCAAGACACAGAAACGGAAAGAAAGAAAGGGAGAGGAAAACCAGGACGAGAAGCGGCGCTCACCTTCCAGGCCGAATAGACCTTGTTCATCCGCCGGAAGAAGGCGTCCCTGTCGATGTTGATGGACATGCCTCGCCTCTTGTGAACGCCGAGTGAGCGCTGCCTCGAGCCCGAAATGCAGGAGGTGAGACGCGCGGAGGACGAGGAGGAATGGCGCGGGACGACGCCGCGAGGAGGACGGTCGCGATGCGCACGGCGGGGGGAGGCGGAGGGGGGGGGGCGGCGTTCGAGGGTGCGCGCAATTCGCAAGGGGGGCTGCTTTGGGGGGGCTGCTTTGGGGGGCTGGGGGGGTTGGAGGGGGGTGGAGGGTAGGGGGTGGGAGGGTTTATTTTGGGGGGGTTTAGAAGGGTTTTCGGTTCGGGTTCGGGTGTTTGCGGGGAGGTTTCCTGGCGGTTGCGAATGTTATCCGAGTTGGTTTTCGCGCGTAAATATGGACATGTGTGTTGACACCTAGTATATATAAATAAATAAATATATATATATATATATATATATATATATATATATATATATATATATATATATATAAATACACACACGCACGCACGCGCGCACACACACACACACACACACACACACACGCACGCACGCACGCACGCACACACACACACACACACACACACACACACACACACACACACACACACACACACACACACATATATATATACATATATATATATATATATATATATATATATATATATATATATATATACATGCTCACGTACATTCAGTATATACATACAAAAATATACATCTATATCCAAATATATTTATATAGTTCTTATACAGGTCTTCAGACACATATACATAAAGATAGTAACTGATAGTAATATCAATAGTAATAGTAGTAATGACGGGAATGATAACATAATAATAATATCAAAATTATTAGTTATAATAATACTAACAAAAATAGTAAGAAAAAGGGGATAAAAATGATAATGATAATGCTATCGAGATGATAAAAATGAATATAATGATAACAATAATGATGACGATGATAAAAATAACAGCAACAGAAACAATGATAATCATGATAATGATAATAATAATAATACTAATAAAAAAATATAATAATGATAATAATGATAATAATAATGATAATAATAATGAGAACGATATCAATGATAACAATGATGACACTAAAAATATAACTATATTAATGATAATAATAACAACAATGAGATAGTAATAATAATAATAATAATGATAATAATAATAATAATAATAATAATAATAATAACAATAATAATGATGATAACAATAATAATAATAATAATAATAATAATAATGATAATGATAATGATAATAATGAAAATAATAGTTATAATGATGATCATAATAATGAAAATAATAACAATAATAATAATAATAACAATAATGATAATGATAATAATAACAATAATAATATTAATAATAATAGATAATAATGATAACTCTAATATTGATAATAATGATGAGGATGATCACAATAATAACAATAATGACACTAAAAATAATAATAATAATAACGACACTAAGAATAATAACTATAATTATAACAACAATAATAATAATAATAACAACCATGATATAGTAATAATAACAACAATAATAATAATAACAATGATAACCATGATAATAATAATAATAATAATTGAAAGGGGTCTTAACTTGCTGGTTTATTTCTGAAGGTAGATATGAGACCCCCAAGAGACCCCCGTGTTCCCGGGTGGAGGACGAGGTGGTGGAGCTGGACCCTGTGTCGCTTGGCCTGTCTGCCGTGTCTCCTTCTGTCCCCTGTGTCTTAGGCACGTGCCCTTTTATGCGGCGGTTTCCTTGGAGGGCAGATGTTTATTCCTGTGTGAAAAGAGAAAGGAGGGCAGCACCTGCATCCTGCGCAAGGAGAAAGGCATTTGCTTGGACCGAGGTGTGAATCTGCCATCCGGTCTTGCTACGTATTGTTCACAATAATAATAACATAATGATAACATGGTATTAACAAAGATAATAATGATAATGATGATAGTAATGATAATAATAATGATGATAATGATATCAATGATAATAATAACAATAATAATAATGATAATGATAGCAATAATGATAATGATGTCAATAATAATAGTAATAATCATAATGATAATAATAATAATAATAATAATAATATGATAATAATATTATTATTAATAATGATTAATTGTGATAATAATGAAAAATAGATAATGACAATAATAATAATAATAATATTGATAATGAAAATTATAATGATAATAATGATCATAATAATGACAATAATAATAATAATAATAATAATAATAATAATAACAATAATAATAATGATGATAATAATAATAATAATGATAATAATAACAATAATAATAAAAATAATAATAAATAATAATAATGATGACAATAATGATGATTGTAATAATTGTAAGCGTAAGTGACCACGCAAGCCACTAGATGTAAGCGTAACAGAGATGGTCTTGGGGCGGTCAATGAAAGGGGTCTTAACTTGCTGGTTTATTTCTGAAGGTAGATATGAGACCCCCAAGAGACCCCCGTGTTCCCGGGTGGAGGACGAGGTGGTGGAGCTGGACCCTGTGTCGCTTGGCCTGTCTGCCGTGTCTCCTTCTGTCCCCTGTGTCTTAGGCACGTGCCCTTTTATGCGGCGGTTTCCTTGGAGGGCAGATGTTTATTCCTG